AAGGGGTCAGTTTTTAAGACGGAGGCAGCTTCATCTGAGGTGATCTGACGATCCGTTATGGGTCATGTGAGAATTATTGCGTATGGATGATATCTTTGTGTCGAGTTTGATATGTCTTATCTTAGAATCGTTGAAGTATCGAAACTACTGGGAGAGTTTCTAATTATTTTATATTGTAGATTAGCTAGTGGTAGAGATTATGTCAGATCTTTGATGTATGACTTGTGTTGTCATATCTTGCATGGTTTGTAATAATTACACAGCCGAAAATATGGATAGTTGCTGTTTCCAATCATCAAATCTTCTGAACGGATAAAAACCTTTTTATTTAATTATTGATTATTCAGTAATCGATGTAACGTTAGATTGATTTCTATAATTAGTTGTAATATACTTCCAATTCCACTTATTAATTCACGCTGCTACTTCTAAAAAAAAAAACAGAGAAAAAAAAACCTCTTCGATTTCTTGCTTCGTCTTTTCGGATTAATCGATATTTCTTATTGAAGTATCTATAACCAGTTATCAATTTTAGTTGTTTCCTTTACCATGGCTTACTTCCATGATGTTTCGATTTTGCGCCCTTGTATTACGGGTTGGCACATAAGAGTGAAAGGTTCTGCGCATGATTACTGTTTGCATAAATCCTCGGAATGCTCTCCGTTAGGTTCTGGTGGATGATAAGGTACTTTGGTTTTGTTCTGATAGATTTGATTTTAAATGCTAATTCGTGTTAGTTACTAAACAGACTATGTCGTGTGTCTAGGGTTTTAAGATCGATTGTTGGATTAATAGTGAATATGCGAAACATTATGCTGAGTTTTTGAAGGAAGATCGATGGTTTTCTTTTACGGCGTTTCGTGTTCTTGAGAACTCTGATAGGGTCAGGCTTACCAATCATCATTTCAGAATGTCTGTCTTTGGAACGACTGTCGTTCTTCCCGCCGATCCACCGTCGACTGAACCCCGTGACTCCTTTACTCAGTTCAGTTCGATAATTGACGGAACGGTTGACGAGAGTGTCTTGATTGGTAAGTTATATATAATGCTCATTTTGTTTGTTGTGTTTGGAAATACCTGTCTGAATTATAGTTGTGTCTGTTTCTTAACTAGATTTGATCGGGGTTTTGTCTGATGTTGGTGAATTGGTGAATGTCGGGACAAATCCATCAGATCTCACTGGCTTCAGACTGAGCTTTCGGATTCGTGGGCCTTGGTTAGTAAATAGATATTTTCTCCCTTTGTGAATTTTGTCTGGGTATTGTCCTGTTTGGTGTTAAATGTTAATTATATCATTTTTATTTTTGTTGTTTTGTTTGTGTTTTCTTGAATAAATATAAAGCGGGAATGCTATCGAGGGTTTGGTGTCGGGACGCTCAGCGATGGAGTTCCGAAAGCACTATGACTTGTGTGTTTCGAAGCCTTTGGTCTGTATTATGCGTCTGTGGAAGGTAGACAGATATTTCGATGGACCAAAGAATGTTAGGATTGTTAACCAGGGGCTGATTTCTAAGGTTTTGCCATATCCTGATGTTCCTGAGGCTGCTGAATTTTGCACTATGTCGGTAGTCATTTCCTATGTTCATTATTATTTTATTTTTTATTTTTTTGTTTTTATATCTGATTTTTTGTTTGGCTACTTTGTCTTAGGTCTTAATGTGTTGGTGAGACAAGTGATTCGAACTAGGACATTAACGGTGGATGTGTAGTGCGATTCGTCTGGACGTTGCCCGTGTGACTCTTTTGTGAATATCGGAAATGTTAACTGTTTGTTTTTGGTTTTGTACTCGGATCATCTTGGTTTGTATGAATATGAACTTAGAATAATATTCTCCTTTATGCGGTATTGATATATTATCGTATTGACATATGATAATCTTCTGTTTTTATGAATGATGGTATGTTTTGTAATGATAATCTTCTGTTTTTATGAATGATGGTATGTTTTGTAATTAGTTTCAACCATGGTCGCTAGATTTAAACGGTCATATATATAGATAGATTACATATATATATATATATATATATATATATATATATATTTTAAAAATATATATAGATAAAAGGTTGAATTTATCTTCGATAATATTTGATAGTTTTCCGTTTTAGTGAAGATTTTATTTATGATAGATTCTGTTTTAGTGGAGATTTATCTTATCATAAGTAAATTGTTTTGATAAAAAAAAAGTAAATTGTTTTATTTAGTATGTTGATATTGTTCAATTTCTATATTTTATATTTGTGAATCTTCCTAAACTAAATACTCGCGTATATATATTTTACTTGATATATATATATATGTATAATAAATAATATTCTCGCACTTTTCTTTATTCCGCAAAATTTGTTTCTATTATGGCTCATCTTCTCTCTAATGCCATCAGGAACTCGATTCGTAAAAGAGAATGTTTTTTTAGTGTTTCTGATTTGAATCCCTTTGTTCATGAGTGGAAGATTAAAGTTAAAATACTAAGAAAGTTTTATTTGTATGAGACGTTGGAACTAATATTGGTGGATGAAAAGGTAAACTAATGTATATTGGGCTTTGTCTTGATCTGTATCCAATCTAATGTTTCTTCGTAATTCTCTGATAATCTATTATTTATCGATTGACATGCCTTTTTCATTTTTTCGTATTAGGGTCAAAAGATTCATGCTGTAATAAACAAGGAGTATGAGGATCGGCGCACTTCGAAAATTGTTGAGGGCAATTGGATAAGTATAACTAATTTTGATTTGGTTCCTGTTACAGGAGCTTTTAGACCGGTTCCCCATCGTTTTAAGATTGTATGGAACTCAGGCACAACGATTAAGGACATTCGACCGTTGTGTTCCGCTGAGTTCTTTTCGTTTGTCGCTTTCGAGGATATCAAAAGTGGTTCTTTGGACCCTACTTTATGTGTTGGTAATATCAAATTTTCTTATTGTTAATGTGTTTAGTGTAATTAATAATATTTTATCATGTGTTGATGTAGGAGATTGTTTTGCTTTTCGTTTTAATATTATCGTGTGCAATTTGATATGTAGATCTAATTGGACGTGTCGTGAGGGTTGGTAATGGAAGAGAGTCCGGCCCACCTGCTTCTGATTGGAACGAGTTATTTTTGGAACTGGAAAACGAAGAGTGAGTTTCTTTGTTGTTAAATGTTTTTTTTTACTGTTATTGTGTGTTTTGTTGTGGATATATTTATTTATATATATTAATATATAAATATTTATAACACTCTGGTCTCAAGGGGAGAGCGTTTGCAGTGTCGTTTACCAAATGAATACTCGAATGCGTTCTTTAACGAATGGAGGAATTGTCTTGATAACATCATCATATGTGTATTGAGGTTCGCGAGGCTAGAAGTTACTCGAGGTAATTCGATTGACATTTCCTGCATGTGATTTTTATTTTTCTGTCGTGTGCTGGATTTAAATATATTATTTATTTGTGTTCAATTTATTTAATGCGTTATTGTTTTTTTGTTTATTCTTTGTTTGGTTATTAGATTTCTGGAGAGCTACCACTGTATACACATGTACCAGGATTTTGCTAAATTATCGATGTGTTGAAGTTACAAGAATGAGGGATGTGTTTTACGATAGAAGGGAAGCGGACGATTAGTTTTCAAAATGGATTTTGTATGCTTTTGGCTTCACATTTATTACTAATGATTTCTTATTCTGGCTTTGGCATTTTATTCGAACGATTTGGTTTAAGTTCTTAATGTTAGTAGTTGGTGTATTCTTTTATGCAAACGCATTAATCGTCATACTTTATCATACAGTTAGTTAGTAAATTGATTTCTCTCTCTCTCTCTTTTCGGCCCGTTGTCACGCATGTGGTCCTAATAAAGTGGATTTGGAAGATGGAAATATATATGACTAATTCAAAATTTATATAGTGTTCGTGGTAAGATTTGTATATATATATATTTTTTTTTGGGTTAGTAATTGTGTACCATCTACTTTTTATTTGCTTAC